AATATAATTAGAACACTCACTCGAGTAAGTTTTTAATAATAATAATAATAATAATAACATTATTACAATTTCTATATTTTAAAATTCCATTTAAATATTAATGCTTGCATTTTATTTACTTAATTGAAAATACATATTTTTTATTACATTGCGATTTTTTGACAGACAATTTTTCATAATAGAACCATTTTGAGATGGTTTTTTTTGTATTGTAATATAAAAAATACCAAACTTAATAAAATAAAATAATCTCAATAGACAACTAATTACTACAGCCATTTTCTCTAGCATAAATGACTATATCAGTAAAACCATTTCGAGTAGCTTCATAANTATATCAGTAAAACCATTTCGAGTAGCTTCATAAATGGTATTTTTACTCCACGGACAATTATTTTCATGAGCGTATTTTATGCAACTTATTTGATTATTTGCAGCAGCTAATCTTATTGTGCTTTCATCCCACTCACATCCATTTTCATGAACATATTTCAAACATTCCAAATGACCATTTGTAGCAGCTGCACTCATCGTACCTTCATCCCATGTATATCCTTTTTTATGTGTAAAAATCAAACAGTTAATACAACCACTAGCGGCAGCTTCTCTTGTTGTTCCTTCGTCCCAATCACAACCATTGTTATAGGCATATTTTAAGCAGTCAAAATGTCCATTAGCAGCAGCCCCTCTGGTCGTACCTTCAACCCAATTACATTCATGTTCATGAGCATATTGTAAGCAATCTAAATTACCATGAACAGCAGCTGTAACTATTGTATCTACATCCCAATTACATCCATTTTCATAGGCATACTTTAAACAATCAAAACAACCACTTGCTGCAGCAGCTCTAGTTGTGCCATCTTCCCACTTGTATCCATTTTCGTGTGCATATATTAAGCAATTTAAATTGCCATGCTTAGCAGCTGTAACTATTGTACCTTCATCCCAATTAATGTCATTTTCATGAGCATATTTTAAGCAGTCTAAATAGCCATTTTCTGCAGCAATTATAGTTGTTCCTTCTAGCCACTTGCATCCCTTTTCATGAGCATATTTTAAAATGTCTAAATCACCTCTATAAGCAGCATGTATTGTTATTAATTTATCCAATTCGCATCCATTAATATGAGCATATTTTATAGTGTCTAAATCACTATTAAAGGCACCTATTATCACTATTTGCTCATCGAATTCGCATCCATTTTCATGTGCGTATTTTAAAATTTCTAAATCACTTTTTAAAGCAGCAGCTCTAGTTGTGCCTCTATCCCATTGGCATCCATTTTCATAGATATATTTTAAAATTTCTAAATCACCATAAGAAGCAGCAGCTCTAGTTGTGCCTTCTGCCCATTTACATCCATTTTCATGAGCATATTTCAAAATGTCTAAATCACCCTCTTGGGCAGCAGCTTTAGTTGTACCATCATCCCATTGGCATCCATTTTTGTGTGCATATATTAAACAATCTAAATTACCATATCTTGCTGCTGTTTCTGTTGTGCCTTTTGCCCATTTACATCCATTTTCATGAGCATATTTCAAAATTTCTAAATTACCATAAGAAGCAGCTACTGACGTTACATTTTCATCCCACTCACATCCATTTTTATGAACATATTTTAAACAGTTTAAACAGCCACTTGCTGCAGCAGCTCTAGTTGTGCCATCTTCCCACTTGTATCCATTTTCGTGTGCATATATTAAGCAATTTAAATTGCCATGCTTAGCAGCTGTAACTATTGTACCTTCATCCCAATTAATGTCATTTTCATGAGCATATTTTAAGCAGTCTAAATAGCCCTTTTCTGCAGCAATTTTTGTTGTACCATCATCCCATTGGAATCCATTCTCGTGGGCATATGTTAAAAAGTCTAAATTACCTTTTAAAGCTGCAATTCTAGTTGTTCCTTCTGCCCATTTACTTTTATTTTCATGAAGATATTTTAAAATTTCTAAATCACCAGTAATGGCAGCTTGTATTGTTATTAATTCATCGAATTCGCATCCATTTTCATGTGCATATTTTAACATTTCTAAGTCACCTGTCATAACTGCTGCAGAGGTTGTACCTTTGTCCCATTGACATCCATTTTCATAGACATATTTTAAAATTTCTAAATTACCTACTAAAGCAGAAGCTCTAGTTGTTCCTTCTGCCCATTTGCATCCATTTTCATGAGCATATTTTACACATTCTAAACTACCTTTTTGTGCAGCTTCTTTAGTTGTTGTTTCATCCCATTGGCAACCATTTTTATACGCATAATTTAAGCATTGTAAATGCCCATTTGCAGCAGCAGCCCTTATTGTACTTTGATCCCATTTACATCCGTTTTCATGAGCATATATTAAGCATTGTAAATGCCCATTTGCAGCAGCAGCCCTTGTTGTTTTTTTATCCCATTTACATTCATTTTCATGAATATATTTTAAGTTTTCTAGATTACCATAATTTGCAGCTGCTTCTGCTGTGCTTTCATCCCATATACATCCATTTTTATGCGCATATTGTAAAATTTCTAAATTTCCACTCATGGCAGCTGCAGTAATTGTGCTTACATCCCATTTACAACCGTTTTCATGCGCATATTTTAAACACTCTAAATTACCATGTAAGGCAGCTCGCGTTGTGGTATATTTATTCGNAACACTCTAAATTACCATGTAAGGCAGCTCGCGTTGTTGTATATTTATTCCAGCGGCACCCATTTTCATGAGCGTATTTTAAACATTCCAAACTACCTTTTTCGGCGGCTTTTAATGTTGTTTTTTCATCCCATTTACAGCCATTTTCATGTGCATAAATTAAGCATTCTAAATGTCCATTTGCAGCAGCGGCCATTGTTGTGTTGTTATCCCATCTACATCCATTTTTATGAACATATTTTAAAATTTCTAAATTACCATTCATGGCAGCTGCTTCAGTTGTGTTTTTATTCCACGGACATCCATTTTTATGAGCATATATTAAACATTCTAAATGTCCATTAGCAGCAGCAGCCCTTGTTGTTTCTTTATTCCACGGACATCCATTTTTATGTGCATATTTTAAACATTCTAAATGCCCATTTGCAGCAGCTTCAGTAGTTGTATATTCATCCCATTCACAGCCACTCTCGTGAGCTAGTTTTAATTTTTCTATGTCACCACTTGCAGCAGCTTTTCTCGTTGTGCCTTTTTCGAATGGGCATATTTTTTTTTGTTTCAAATTTCTAATTTCAATCCCTAAACAAAGACAATACAATATAAATATTATTAATATTTACTGAACAGAAATTTTATTTATATTATTAAAAAATATCTATTAAACAGTATTATAGTAAAGTTCTAATATTTATTACTCGAAGTTCTTGGAAAATTGAAATTATAACTTCAATTAAAGTTCAAATTAAGATTTTAGCTTCTATGGGAAGATCAGAAAGTATTAATTTTACCATGATGTGTTTATTTTTTTTTTTTTGTCTATTACTAGTTTTTCATTGCTTTCACTGGACCAATTTTTCTCAAAAGATCACAAATCGTATTTATTTGAAGTCATTATCCTCAAAAAGTTTTTCCCTCGTTTCTCGTAAATAGTGAAAATCCTCCAAAAATTTCGATTTTTAAAATCATTAAATTTTGTCTAAAAATTGACATAACTTATTGAAAAATGAATGAAGCAAAATAACTTTTTTTTTTTTTGAAACCTTAGACATTTTCCTATCATTTGATATTATTTTTTTGAATATCTGCCTTTAGATGAGATTTTAAAATGGCAATTTTTCATAATAACTAACTTTTTCAACTTAACTTTTAAAAATATTCTTGAAATACTGCGTCCTTTAAACATATGTTAAACTAAAACTTATGTAACGCTTATAATTTAAAAAAAAATTGTCCCGATCTCTTTTATGTTCAAATGACTACGGTAGCTTTTTTTCTGTGTTGGCTTTTATTATGAAAATATTAAGGATCGACAATTGCATAACAATTAGATGATATAGTATTAATTAGCATTATGAATTACAGAAATAATAAGTCTTAATTAGTATAACGAAGGTAAAGTATGTAAAATAAATTATAATATATGATAAGGTAGTTAAATAATGCTACTAGCATTCAATAGAAAAGAAATAATGGCAGTAATCACGGAAATAGAATGGGAATTTAGTATAACAGAGGAAACAAAATTGAAAATTCCATTGGATTCTAAAAATTTTATAAGCAGGTACCTAGACGCTAAGGAGGAGCAATTCAATAAAAAGTGGAGCAAATCTCCAACGACTTCTTCCTCATGTAAATGGCAAAAGGGAACAGAGTTCAGGTTTAATTTGTAAACGAACTTATCATAATCTAGTACCAGATTATGATCCAGTCTGAGTCGTGAAAAGCTAGAAATGATAATGCGAATAAGTTCTAGTTGATGGAACCATAGAACTTTCTAAACTGGGTACGATGGACCGATGCCATCGGGTAAAACTGTTAGGAAGAGAAGACCACTTGTTGATCCATGTTTCCACCAGAGTATAATTTAAGTAGTGCAATGCATCAGAAAAAGGAAGAATAATATAGAAAGAGTGTTGCGCATTGTCTAGACACCCAATGGAATTGAACTTATTTACTTGAGATGAAAATTTTGAGGAGGATTGCTCTAATTGAATGGATTATAGGGAAAGTTTGAGAATCAAAAGGGTTAGTATTATTAGCCAAAAGACAAGCCTGCAATATTTTGGGGTAAAAGAGTCTATTTATTTATTCATTCATTTCTACGGACAAATGTCCAATTTACAATATAATTCAATGATAACAATTATATAATATAATGAAAATAATAATATAATATAATATAATACAATGAAAATAATAATATAAACATAATAAAAGATATATAGAGTATATGGTAATAATAAATATAATAATAAAGGAAATTATTGACTATTTCCTACGGACATTAATATATTTATTGGGTCTTTTGACGTATATTTTTTGGTTGTATGAGGTTTATAAAATAAATCATTGTTTCGAGTACATTAGTTATTAACTTTAAAGTTAAATTGGCCTAATATGTATGAGTCGTCAATCTCGTTTTTTAATAATTTGGAGAGAAAGATTTTATATGATATGTTTCTATGAGATTTTAATGTATCTAAGTTTAACAAATTTAAAATTTGTTCGTACCCAGAGTGAGGAGTTCGTGGGATATTACATTTAAAACATATAAATCTTAGGACGTTATTTTTCACTCTTTCCAGTTGATCATTTTGTTCTGCATTGTAATGGTCCCAAATTAACGGAGCGTATTATAATAAGGAACGTACTAGAGAGGTATACAAACATTTAAAAGCAAGTGGATCATGAAAATCGGAACAGTTTCTTTATTTTTTATCACTGATACGTGGGCGTTAAATAACAGTTTGGTATTAAATAAGATTCCTGAATCTTTAACTAATGAGGAACGTTGTAGGTAAATGTCACTTAAATTATAGTTAAAATTGTTTGGCCACCGATCAAATGCAGTGCCACTGGCGCACCACCTGTTAACTCTAAGTGGTCGCGCGTGGTGTGTACGGCGAGCCTGTGTTCGGTGTTTATGCTAAACCGGTCCTATGATAGATAGTGGTGTGTCTCGATTTTGAGAGCCCCGTCTTAAGCCTATGATCGTGGTTTTTGTTCTAAGTGGAAAATTTTGGATGTCCATCAGCTGATCAACTTCAGGAGAACTTCTCCTTTCTGTACCCTAAGGACCGAAGACACAGATCTGTAGCCAGGTTGCACATGAACCACACAATATTGGTTGTATATTAAGATTTGTAGTATTAATCATAGTTGAAATTATAATTAATTATAAATAAATAATCGTTTTTTTTTTATTTACTAGAAAAATATTGTCACTAATTGTCGTAGTTGAATTAAGTTAATAAGTTAATAAGTCGTGTCCATAACAGGCGAAAATACTGGATGATCCGACCCAGTGGTGTTTTGAGTCAGTGGCATAACAAAAATGAAGGGGATTGTGTTTTTTGGAGTAAGTAACAATTTGGTATTTATCTATGTTCAGTGAAAGGCCATTTAAAATGTACCACTCGTTAAATGCTAGTAAATCATCTTGAAGTTGTTTGATATCATCAATGGAAATTATAGATTTATAGATTTTAGCATCATCAGCAAATAATAGTATGTTGGAATGCGTGATGGAGGATATAACATCATTTATAAATAAATTAAATAATAGAGGGGAAAGATGACCTTGTGGTACTCCAGAAATTACTTTTATAGACGTTGATACAAAATTTTTATATTTAACAAATGGGATTTGATAACCTAAGAAAGATTTAAACCATGATAGAAAGGGATCGTCAAAGCCTATTTTATGTATTTTATTGATTAATAAAACGTGGTTAACTCTATCAAAGGCTTTTTCGAAATCAGTATAAATAACATCGGTTTGATGATTATTGTTATGTATTTTAATAATACATATTTTAAAAAAGAGAACAAGTTAAGTTTTACAGTAAAAATCTTTATTTTAAAAAATCATAAGAGCGTCTACTTTTTACATCATTATTACATCTTAATCAAAGAGGGGACAAAGATGCTAGCTGCTTAACAGTGCAGCCACTAATATATAACATCCTTCTCTTAACAATTTTTTTTTTTTTTTAAATATATTACAAAAACATCAACAAAGAAAAACATTAATTCAAATTTAATATTATTTTTTTTTCCAATTAAAAAACATTAAATAAAAAAATATAAACATTAAAATAATAATCCTACATAAATACAACTCAAACTTTGTATCTAGCTGGTAATCTTATTATTCTATTTGGTCTATTCCTCCTTTCCTTCTGCTTTTTGTTTTCTGTTTCTACACTAGTACTTTCCTCTATTTTATCCTCAGGTTCAGATTTTCTTAAGTGAAATGAATTTCTCCTATACTGACTACCTCTATCATCTCTTATAATATAAGATCTGGGTCCAGCTTCTTTTACTATAACTCCTTTCACCCACTCTTTGCCTTTTTGCATTGATACTTTTTGTCCTATCACAAAACTATCTCTTTCTTTAGTATTTCTATCATAATACATTTTATACTTCAATTTATTTTCACATAATTTATCATAGATATCACTTGGCACTTTAGGAACTAATTTATTTGTATGAATTGGTAATGCAGTCTTTAATAATCTACCCATTAGTAGTTGACAAGGTGCTAAACCNTGTTGAATGGAATAGGTTATGTAATTAAAAGATTTAGAAATTATTCGTAATATAATAGTATTTAATATAAAATGTTAAAACATATAATATAAGAGATGTACAACGGCAACGGGTCACTTTACTCGATAGACGGTGAAACTACGACTAAAACTGTAAACATGTATACAATAGGCTGCATTGAGTAAAACAACATAATCGTAAAAGGAATGTGTCCCTTTGACCCCGTACTATACTAACATAAGTAAAAATACACCAAACTGTTATCTTAAATAATATTACTGTACCCAGTGTGTTGTTTAATAATATCAACA